TATTGCTGGGACCAGCGGACATGGAAACAGTGTTAGCGGGTGATGTGCCAGGTGGGCGGATGAGCGCTGGTGGGTTTACAGGAGATGTGAATATTGCTGCCAATGTTGTTGGGGGCAGTTGGGGAGGGGTTATATGAGCCCTGAGCCCCTCAGCAATGCTCTAAACAAAGGAAGAATACCAAAAGCACGGAGAAGAAAGCATGGGATAGAGTCAGGGAGAAAGAGATGGAGATGGGGCTGCCGGAAAGAGAGGCAACCTCCCCTACCCAACCAGACCAAGCCATCTGACGTGCTCTGACCCTCCAAACCGTTGACAGGTACTTTCAGGTAGGGAAGTTGGGTGAGGGCCGATCGGGACAGAGGGAGGGTGGAATGGAGGCGAGGAGTGCCACGAGCGCTTGTCCCAAGGTCCCAAGACCGCCTCAGCGTAGGTACGAGGCTAACAAGCGCTCGTGGATAGCTGAGGAGAGGCCCAAGGTCCCAAGACCGCCTCAGCGTAAGTGCGAGGGGTCGGGATGTAAAAGGCGTCGGGGTCACCCTCAGGGACTAGCAGCGTGGAACAGAGATGGGGAGCAGCCTCGGACAGGAAAGCAAGCTCGTACTGGCGGTCCTCCAGGACGTCACTGCCGAGGGCAGGAGCACCCCCGACAGACGGAGGACGACAGGGTCGGAGACCAGAGCGGTGGCGGAGTCAAGGCGGCGGGTAGAGGCGAAGTCAGCGACCGCAGCGACAAGAGCGTCAAGACGCAAAACCAGAACAGACGGGTCGGTAACGAGAGAGGCAAGGACCCGAGGAACAAGAGGACAAGCGGCACGAAGGTAGTCAGACAAAGGGGGGGGCGCAACAACAAGGGAGGACAGAGGAGGCAATGGCAGGAGGGGAGGATGAGACGCGTGGGAACGAAGCAACATAGGGTGAGAGCGCGGGACAGGGGAGACAGGGCGAGCACGGGAGGAACGGCGAGACCAGACGTGAGACGGAGGCGTCGGGTCAGGAGACAGAGGAGGGGACACAGGAGGGGAACGAGGGGGAAGACAAGCCGGAGTCGAGTCCGGGGGAGGGAACACAGGGCCGTAGACAAGGAGAGGAGGAGACGACAGGTGAGGCGCAAACGCAGGGTCAGAGGACGGAAGTCTGAGCAGGCGAAGGGCTGACACCGGCGGTGACTGCTGCTGCGGCGGCACGACACCGACTCCGGAACACTCCACTCTAGCATCCTCAGAAGGAACAACCCAGAAGGAACACCCCCAGAGCCCGAAGCCCCTCGAGCACCGGTACTACCCCCAGGGCCACCGGGACAAGCCACAAGAGGAACCCCAGGACTAGTACTCACCCCAACGCCAGCACCCCCACAGTCAACGAACTGCTGCTGCGACGGCTGCGGCGACGGCGGCTGCAACAACGGCTGCGGCAGCGTCGGCAGCGGTGACGGCAGTTGCGACAGCGGTGGCAATGGCGGCTGTGGAGGCGGCGGAGGAGGAAACATCTGGGGAGGGATAGGCGTCGAGGACTGCGCCGCAGGATCACCAGAGTCAGCAGACTCCTCGACCGGGACAACCGACTTGAGGGGGGTGACGTGGGACACACCAGTCGGTGCAGGACGGGGAGGGTTAGGGGGAGGGGCAGGGGCCACCGGGGAAGGGGGGACCAGGAAGAGGGGAGGAGTAACCGGGGGACCTCGGTGGGGGAAGCGGCGGTAGAAGGAGACAGACTTGTCAAAGGTGACGTTGCGGGAGTGAAAGAACCGGTGAGACTGCGGGTGGTAGAAGTGCCAGTCAGACGAGTCGACGGGGAAACCGAGGGAGACACAGGGGAGGGTGCGGGCAGTGAGCTTGTCCGTGCCAGAGGCATGAACGTGAGCAAGGCAGCCCTAGACGTGAAATGCAGACGCGTCACCAGGAGACCCGGACCAAATAAGGGTCGGCGAAACCTGCGGCTGCTGGGGGTGCGGCCACAGGTTTAACTGGTGAGCGGTGTAGCGAACGGCGAACGGCCACAGAAAATGGGGTGCACCGGCATGGATCATGGAGGTACGAGCCACCTCCATGACCAAACCGATGCATCGCTCAACGACCCCATTCTGCTGCGGGGAGTCCGGCAAGGTGAACGTCTGGGTGATGCCCTCCGCACGACAGAAACGACCAAGAACGCATGAGGCAAACTCGCCGCCACGATCAGAGTGGAGATGCAAGACAGGGAGACCGCGGTGGACACGCGCAGAGACAAGCCACGGGATGAGAACGTCAGGCACGTCGGCCTTCCGCTCAAGGGGAAAGACGGTGGTGTAGGGGGTGTAGTCGTCGACAAGCACTAGGAAGTAGCACTCTCGACGCGGCCCATGGACAAGGGCGGGGCCCCAGACGTCCATGTGCAGGGTCTGTAGCGGTGCTGTGGTAGGGGAGAACGAGGACGAGTGAGGGGCACGGCAGAGCCGGCCGTCAACACAGGGCGTGCACGGTGGTGCTGGGGAGGAGGCCAACTCGGGGAACGACCCTGGGAGACCTAGGACTAGACCGTGCTGTGACATGTGACGCAGACACGGGAGGGCAGGGTGACCTAGACGGTGGTGCCACAGTAGTGTCGGGTGAGTGAGCGACCGACAGGAGCAGGCAGCAGCAACCTGGGTAGACGCTGACATCCGAGGGGACATCCCAACGAGGGGGGGTCGCGGTGTCCAATGTGAACAGTCGAGACACCGGGTCTCGGGGGAACGTGGTGAGGGGAGCACCAGTGGCGACCTCGGTATAGACAGCGTACAGTACCACTCGTGACCAGGGAACGTAATGGTGACGCCAAGGTCCTGGGGGCAGCCAACACCAACTAGGTTCCTGGAGAACGAGGGGATGTGCAGGCCTGTAAGAGAGCCTGAAGGAATCGCCGGACAGGGAAGGGTGGTGGAATTGCGGGCGACTACCGGGCCGGAGGAGGGGTCTGCAAGGGAAACTGCAGCAGGAGTAGGAAGCGGCGTCAGCGTAGTGGAGTCGCGAAAGAAACACCGAGAAGCGCCAGAGTCCAAGGTGAAGGAGAGCGCGGCAGTGACATCTGTAATCGGAGCAGCGACAGAAGAACCAAGGCTAAACAAAGCAGGGGATCCTACGCCTGACGCAGCAGGGGAGGCACGACTAGACACGCCTACACTAGGCAACAAGGGGTAGTAAGAAGCAGTCACACTAGAGTCATCAGCATACATCACATGCAAGGCAGCAACAATCTCATCCATGTCCATATCAAAAATCTGAACGCTACAGTGAAGCAAGCTGTCCCAGTCTGAAAGTAGAGGGTAGAGCAGAGGGCAGCTGAAAGGCTCTAAGCTGGGTCTCAGTACAGGCAGAGCGCCAGGTCGCGTCTATCGCGCGTAGGTAAGCGGCCAGGTCAGCGACAGTGGGGAAAGACGCAAGGTCAGGAAAGAGCATGGGCAGGATCAGGCGACCTACAGAGGCAGCAGGCGGGGTGGAATAATGCTTTACAACAGCATCTAGGAACTCCTGCGCAGTCGTAACCGACCGAAAGTGAGGGCGCTCAGATAGGGGGAGGGGCATGACTGATCGCAAGCTGCGCTACGACGTCACGCGACAACCAGACTGAGCGGGCAAGGGCAGCAGCTGCAGCGGGCTCACGGTCAGCGGACGAGGGGTCAGCGGGCAGGGGTAGCAGGGTGGTCAGGACAGGGAAGCGTACCATCGAGGTCGACCGCCAGGGAGTGGCCATCCTGCCGCTGACCAGTGAGATGGCGGCGGAGGTTGACCAACCACGTGTCAAACTCGAGCGGCTGACCCTCTGCGTCGAAGCGGAGCACGCAGTCCGCCATTAGGATCAATGCAGCAGCGGTGCAGTACAGTGCGGAGCGGTGCAGTGCGGTGCGGGGCGGTGGAGTGCGGTACTGTGCTGTGCAGCGCGGTACAGTGCGGTGCTGTGCGGTGCAGTGCGGTACCGAGGGGTGAGGGGCGGTGCAGTGCGGTGTGGTATGGCGCGTAGGTACACAATGGACGCTGGGGTCGGTGGCGGGCCGGCGGACGAGAAGGGACGGGCGCGGGGGCCGACTAGGAATGGGCGCAAGGGGGCCAGCTGGACCGGGCGCGAAGACCGGTGAGGGACGGGCGTGAGGGGCGGCTAGGAACGGGCGCACTGGGCCGGCTAGGAACGGGCGCGAGGGGCCGGCTAGAACGGGCGCGAGGTGCCAGCTGGAAACGGGCGCGAGGGGCCGGCTAGAATGGGCGCGCGGGCCGGCTAGGAACGGGCATGAGGGGCCGGCGGGACGGGCTCGAGGGGCCGGCGAGAACGGGCGCCGGCGCCGGCTGGAACGGGCGCAAGGGCCGGCTAGGAACGGGCGCGAGGGCTAGCTAGGACGGGCGCGACGGCTCAGGGGGCCGGCTAGGGCGGGCGCGACGGCTCAGGGGGCCGGCTAGGACGGGCGCGACAGCGCGAGGAGCCGGCTAGGACGGGCGCGACAGCGCGAGGAGCCGGCTAGGACGGGCGCGACGGCTCAGGGGGCTGGCCAAGGGCGGGCGCGACGGCTCAGGGGGCTGGCTAGAAACGGGCGCGACGGCGCGAGGGGCCGGCTAGGACGGGCGCGACGGCTCAGGGGGGGGGCGGCTAGGGCGGGCGCGATGGCTCAGGGGGCCAGCGAGGAATGGGCGCGACGGCGCGAGGGGCCGGCTAGGACGGGTGCGACGGCTCAGGGGGCCGGCTAGGAACGGGCGCGACGGCGAGAAGGGCCAGCTAGGATGGGCGCGACGGCTACGGGGGCCGGCTAGGACGGGCGCGACGGCGCGGGGGGGGGGGGGGGGGGTGACGGCTAGGACGGGCGCGACGGCGCTAGGGGCGCAAGGGGCTGGCTAGGAACGGGCACAAGGGCGGCTAGGGCTTAGGGCGGAAGCGCGGGCGGGCTAGATGGACCTAGCCTACCTACTCATGATACCATGTTAGAATGAGAGAATGAACTAGTATGGGAGAGTACAAGGTAATATAACCTAGAAGCTGTACCCTCTAAGACACAAACCTATACAGTCTATACAAACATAACAATATATGTTTGACTGTTAGAACTCTGTCACTAACCACTGAGTTAAAAGGGCTTTGCACCTGTGGCCCTTCCTCGAGGATCTCAAGGGCAACCCCAGCGGGTCTCCGACATACGGTAAGTCTTTTCAACATTTCCAACAAAAGGAATATGCCCTCAAAATTGGGCTGCTTGGTTTGTCATGCTGAAAAAGACCTAGCTCTTATGGCTCCCAGACTCTAGGCTGGTTGTTACTTATACGTTGAATCTAAAAAGCATAACATCTCCCTCCTGCACAGTGTACTCTTTGCCTTCAGCTCGCAGCTGCATACAAGTAACGACCAGACACGCAGTAAGCAAACTGCCAGTAAACAACAACACAGATCATCAAGTGCGAGCGAGTTGACTCACCAGGCCTTTCTCCTTGGCCGCCGCATAAGAACCACTGGCCACAAAGTCATCGTAGGAGATCTGCAGGCACACAAAGAAAGGTACAACGACAAAAGGCTGAATTATGCAGTAGTGACCAGAAGAGGGTGGGGGGGGAGATGGAGTAAAAGAGAAGGCAGGATAGCTCAGAAAACTGTTGGTTCGAATGAGCCAAATAATGCGCAGGCCAGACACGCGGGTAATCGGAGAGAGCGAGACGGAGAAACCACAGTGCACAGGAGAGAGGAAGGATTTGGTGAGGGAGGGGGAGGAAGGGAGGGAATGGAGCAGAGAGCAGGCCAGCGAGGGGCGCGTTACCGTTTCAGCGCGGATGAAGCCGCGCTCGAAGTCGGTGTGGATGACCCCTGCTGCCTGTGGCGCTGTCATGCCCGCCCGGATGGTCCACGCCCGCGTCTCCTGTGGCATCAGGGGGGTGGCGCATGGCAGGTGCATGGGAGGCACGGCTGGCACGACTACAAACAAGGGACCTCCTACCTATATTCCCGAACGCCTCATCTCGTAGCCTTATAACTCCAACCCCTCTTCCTTCCTTGTCTACTGGCCTCTCCCCTCCCACACCCCCCCACCTTCCCCCTTCTCCTCCCCCTACTCCCCCCCCTCCTCTCCCCCTCCTCCCCAGCCCCCCCATCTCCCCCCCCTTCTCCCCCCCCTTCTCCCCCCTCCTCTCCCACCTTCCCCCCCCCCCCCCCCACCTTCTCCCCTGAGGTGAAGTAGGTGCGCAGCCCCAGCAGGCGGTAGGTGGCCTGCACGAGACCTGCCAGCCCACCCTCCGCCACGCCCAGCTCCTCCAGGTACCCCGCGCGGTCCTCCGCACCCAGCTCGCAGAGCTCCGCCTCCACCTGCCGCCACGACACACAGGGGGCAGCGCGTGGGGAGAGGGCAGGCATTGTTTTATGTATCTATACCCTGCAAAATCAATAAGACATTATTAGCCAAGTGATGCCACCGGACATGGCAGTGGGAGGAGCAGCAGACCTGAGCGGAGACCACAACGCACTCCGCGCCTTCGCTGCTGGCCAGCTGCCGCACAGCTGAGACATGCGGGTTGGAGGAGGGGTCAGCAAGGTCGGTCTCAGCGACGTTCGCCGCATAGATGATGGGCTTGGCTGTCAGCAGGCACAGCTGCGCCACCAGCGGCGCCTCCTCCTCGCTCAGCTCCACGCTGCGCGCCGCCCGCCCTGCCAGCAGCGCCTCTGATATGCGCGCTAGCGCTGCTGCCTCCGCCTCCTCCTGGGGGGGGAAGGGGAGGGGAAAGCGGGGGGGAGGTGGGAACTTGAGGGGACGAAGGAGAGCACGAGGAAAGGGGAGAAGCAGAAGGTGGTTCTAGGGAGTTCTCAAGAGTGATTCATTAGAATTCTCGAAAAGCATGTGTATTTTAAACACCTGCAGGCTAGGGGTAGCGGATAGAGGGAAGACAGTAGTGACCCAAGTCGGATGATAGGTTGTGTGCTACGTTCCGTTCATGCTTATCAGTAGAGCCTACACAAGGGTAGAGGCTAAAGGTCAGAGCTGATCATCTCACCCGGCTGCGAGCCTGAGGGTCCTTGGAGCGACTCTTGCCCAGCCGCTCCATGCGCTTCTCAATCTGCCATGGCGCAATGGGTGCATGCAGCATGGTCATCATGGCACCACGTCAGCATTCCATGCGACAAGAGCAGCGATTAAGCAGCACGGGCAATGATCAAAAGATATTTGCAGCAATAAGGCAACATGAACAGTCATGAGGCATTTTCAGTGGCAATTAGGAACATGAGCAGCAATGAGGTAGCATAAGCAGTGATAAGGCAACACAAGAAGCAACGGGAGCTGTTACATTATGGCAGCAGCAGCAGCAGCAGCACGACAGTCACCTGGGAGAGGTCGCTGAGGGCGAGCTCGAGGTTGATGACGTCGATGTCAGTGGTGGGGTCCACGGCGCCGCTGACGTGCACAATGTCATTGTCCTCAAAGCACCGCACCACCTGGGACCGTGATGCCGTGGCCATACCCGTGCACCCATGCACTCGTGGATCCAATTATTCATGCATGCATTCCCAAGGAGCGCCGGAAAGAATAGTGAAGTGGACTTTCCTATTCACACGGAGCACAGCAACCGCGGTAATATATATATATATATATATATATATATATATATATATAAACACCTTAGTTTTGAGATGGAATAAAGGAGTGGCATGGCACCTCACCTGAACAACGGAGTCCACCTCTCGGATGTGCGACAGGAACTTGTTGCCCAGACCCTGCATGCATGCGACGCCCAGCACGGTACGGCAGGCAGCGGGGTGATGGCACAAGTGGCGGGGACGAGGGCGACCATGAGGACGGCTTGGCAGCAAACAAGCAGCGATCACAGCACGTGTTTTCCCCTTCACGTCCCTTCCCACCCTTCCACCCATCTCCTCCCTCCGCCCACACAACTGAATACCCCTGCAGCACCACCCCACTCCAGCCACCACTCCCTGCTACCCCTCAGCCTCGCCACCACTCCGCACTCTCCCCCCCACCCCTCCCCCATCCCCGCCCCGTGCGCACCTCGCCCTGGCTGGCGCCCTTGACGAGCCCGGCGATGTCGACAAACTCCACCGTGGCGGGCAGCGTGCGCTGCGACCCCGTCAGCCCCGACAGCACGCCCAGGCGGGGGTCGGGCACCGCCACGACGCCCACATTGGGCTCGATGGTGCAGAACGGGAAGTTGGCCGCCTGCGCCTTGCCGTTCTCCACCTGGGGGGCGGGGGGGGGGGACGAGGCGACGGCAGGCGCATGGGTAGAAGCGGCACCCAGTGGCGTCGGCATTGTGCGAGTGCACACACTGAGCCGAGGTTTGAGGCGCCTCAAAAGTGCACACACTGAGCCGAGGTTTGAGGCGCCTCAAAAGTGCACACACTGAGCCGAGGTTTGAGGCGCCTCAAAAGTGCACACACTGAGCCGAGGTTTGAGGCGCCTCAAAAGTGCACACACTGAGCCGAGGTTTGAGGCGCCTCAAAAGTGCACACACTGAGCCGAGGTTTGAGGCGCCTCAAAAGTGCACACACTGAGCCGAGGTTTGAGGCGCCTCAAAAGTGCACACACTGAGCCGAGGTTTGAGGCGCCTCAAAAGTGCACACACTGAGCCGAGGTTTGAGGCGCCTCAAAAGTGCACACACTGAGCCGAGGTTTGAGGCGCCTCAAAAGTGCACACACTGAGCCGAGGTTTGAGGCGCCTCAAAAGTGCACACACTGAGCCGAGGTTTGAGGCGCCTCAAAAGTGCACACACTGAGCCGAGGTTTGAGGCGCCTCAAAAGTGCACACACTGAGCCGAGGTTTGAGGCGCCTCAAAAGTGCACACACTGAGCCGAGGTTTGAGGCGCCTCAAAAGTGCACACACTGAGCCGAGGTTTGAGGCGCCTCAAAAGTGCACACACTGAGCCGAGGTTTGAGGCGCCTCAAAAGTGCACACACTGAGCCGAGGTTTGAGGCGCCTCAAAAGTGCACACACTGAGCCGAGGTTTGAGGCGCCTCAAAAGTGCACACACTGAGCCGAGGTTTGAGGCGCCTCAAAAGTGCACACACTGAGCCGAGGTTTGAGGCGCCTCAAAAGTGCACACACTGAGCCGAGGTTTGAGGCGCCTCAAAAGTGCACACACTGAGCCGAGGTTTGAGGCGCCTCAAAAGTGCACACACTGAGCCGAGGTTTGAGGCGCCTCAAAAGTGCACACACTGAGCCGAGGTTTGAGGCCAGGGGATCAGCGGCAGCATGACAAACAGAGAGGGGGTTGACTCACGAGCGCGTTGAAGAGCGTCGACTTGCCCACGTTGGGCAGCCCCACGATGCCGCTCCTCAGCGCCATGCTCACCCGCGCCCCCGCCCGCCCCACGCCCGCCGCCTCCGAAAGCCGACGCGCCGCCGTCTGCTGGCAGCGGGGCATGGCAGCGAGCGAGGGGGAGGAGGGGGGTAGGAGAGTGGGGGGGAAGAGGGGAGGGGGGAACGGTTTGGGGAGGGCTGGAGGGCAGAGAGGAATGCAGGGGGGTGGCGACGGGCGCAGGATGGAGGAGACGAGGAGGGGAGGGGGGATGGGAGTGGGCGAAGGCTACGCGGTGGGTGAGGAACGCTACGCGTGGCAGCATCACAGCGACGCCACGCGTTCACGCGCAGCGAACCCACCAGCGGCGCGAGGAGTCGCGGCGAGGCGACCAGCCCGTGCAGACACGTCTTGAGGCCCAGCCCCGCGCGCGCCGTCGAACACGCCGCTACCGCCGCCGCCATGCCCGCTGCCGTGCCGCGACGCTGAGAGGCGGGATTAGAGATGCGCGGCCCTGGCGGAGGGGGGGGGATGTGGAGCGGCAGGGGATGCGGAGGAGCGCATGAGCACACACGAGGCGCGGCGATTGAGAGGGCGGCGAGGAGGGGGCGAGGGAAACACGGGGCGGCGGAAAGACGGGGCGAGCGCGTGGGGGAAATGCGGGGGAAGGGAGGGCAGCAGGGAGTGGCGGGGATGCGAGCCGTGGATGGCTGCTCGCCCTACCTGGAAGCAGCGAGGCGGACTTGGCGACGATGCGAGACGCACGTCGAAGAGTCGCCGGGAGGGGAGAACGAGAGCGGCGCGGTGGATGGAACGGCGCGATCAACGGCTGACTCGTGATGCTTTTTCTTCACTGGCTTGCTGTTTTGCCAAATGCTGAGGCTAAGGACGTGGAACCTCTGGCTCATTTGTAGGATTGAGGGGGTGTAGAACGATTTGTAGGGCCATTATCAAAACAGACTGGGACCGCGGCCAGCCCAGCCTCCGAAATAATCCCCCCCATTTTGCGCACATGTTCCAAATATGCAGGCACCGACGTGCTGGATCGTTAGTTAGGCAATCCCGACGGTGCCAACTGTCGCCCAGACCTATCGCGAAACCTTGTTACTTGAAAACTAATCTTCGTCACAACTCAATCTTGACATCAATTGGGTTGTTGACTGCGTGGTATGCAGACAGCTGGCGCGTCTCAGCTTCTTTCGTGCTCATCAATTTGCGAATAGCACTTCTTGCGCAAAGCGCGGACCGTATGATAGTTGGGACCAGGGCTCTCGCTAGTTTTTTCGCCATCTCGGACGATCCCGGCCCCTCAAAAAATGGCCCTGTGGAGTCTGACCTCGTAAGAACATTCTTCAGGGTCCGTGTTAAAAAAGGTCTGATATGTTATAACCCATCTTTGCTGGACAAGATAGTGAGGGTGCCAGTGGGCGACTTCGGGGTGGGATGGGAAACCCGCCCCCTCACCAGCACCTATGCTGCAGATGAATCACGCACGTGAAAGTGCTATATTTAGGCCAGGGGGCTAGGAAGAAAGGGGGTTTGGTGGGAGGGATGGGGCGGGTTTGAGTGGCGCGAACAATTGTTCCTGGCAGCTCATTTAAAAAACCAGCCGCTAAACTAGGTGAAAATGGGAAGAGCAGAGTGGCGCTAAGGGTGAAAGGGAAGAACGAGAAGTTTGACAGATTCCTATACCCCCTGGAGGCTAACTAGATGTCCGGGCCCCCTCAAAATCGCCCCGAACTCCTACGGGTTAGTAGATAAATCCCCCTGATTCTCTCAGGGCTGGCTTAAGAAAAGCCCTAGAAAACACAGGATTGGCATCAAAACAACCTTGGATCTTTCAAACAAGTAAGGGTAATTACCCTCTTAACGTGTGCCCTGGTTGGGACGTGCAGCCATGCTGACGGCTGGGTGGTCGTTTCGGAAGATCAAATATCCGAGGTTGGCCGAAAGTGGCACGGATTACGTTTTGGAACTTTCTCACATCTTGACGTCTGTAACATTAGGGTAACCTGCCTGTCACCCTCGAGGATTGTCAAACAATCCTCTAAATGAGCCAGAGGTTCCACGTCCTAAGTGTCAAACATATCTTTGCATGTTGTTATAGACTGCGTAGGGTTGTGCCTTAGAGAGTACAACCCACTAGGTTATATTCCTTGTATCCTATCTTTCTAGCCATTCGTTAACTTTGATACTAAGGACCGGCTACATTGCATCCGTTTGGCCAAAATCGACCATGGACCGGTTCGTTTTGATACGTTTCAAAACGTTTTGATGCGTTATAAAACGTTTTCAGCGTGGAGAAACATGGTACTTTACCAGGATCGGATCGTGACCCTGCGAATCAGACGCAATGTACCGCGTCCTATGGGTACTTCTTAGAGAGTGTCCCGCGCATCTTTTTGCGTACGAGGGAACATGACTTCAATATGTGCCCGATTGTAAGACATTAATGTTCCTCACTTACAGGCTGGTTTTTTTAGCATTTCAGCCTGATTTTCATACCCTCTTATGGACATCGAATACTTTCCTACATTCGTTGTTTTTTCACCTAAAAATCCTTCTAGGTCAACAGTGAGGAAATCGGAAAGAACAAATGAGTTTGTAAAGTACAAGTGCTTTCATACCCTAACATTAACACCTTCGCGCCTGTAGTTTCCTCTTTACTTTCCCCTACATTATCAGTTGCCCCCTTATTATAGTTCGGTGCAAGCGTCATGTGCATTCATGCCTGTCTTTAGTAGAAAATTTCCCCACCGTGGCAACTTTGCAGCGTAGCGAGACAATCAAGTTGGCATGCATAGGGACTGCGTACATCGCCTGCTGGGTGACGCCGCATGTGGACTTCCCACAGGCATAGCTACGTCCACAATCGAGAACCTTCGACGGTGAGCGTATCGAATGGTTAACATGCCATCACATCGAAATCCCGTCAAGAACGCCCTTGCTATGGTGGTGCGAGACCCACTGGTATGACATCTCACCCTTCTATACCAACCATAAGAAAAGATGGCACTCGTCCTTGATGAACCCCTTCCACCCTGCTCCACCCGTTTCTTCCGCTCTTATCGTTGTTTCAAAACGTCCGCCTCTCGCCATGATGGTTGTAGGCTCTGCTGGAGATGTCCCTGCCAATGGCGACAACCTGCTTGGAAAGGGTCCTCCGACACATGTGCGTATGTCCGGGTTTGATTTCCTACACCACGTCGTAGCATCACCCCCAGTGTTATGTGTTCCTACGTCAATGAAACCATACTCGATATGAATACTCCTGCTTCTCGAACAGCCGATTCAACTTCTTATTTCCCGGCCGCTGCCATGACGACTTTGAAAATAGGGTAGCCATGCATTTCGCTAGCATGGCCGCGACGACCGTCCGTTATAGTGTCATGCGCCTCCGATTACTTCTGCAAGTATACCCAGGGCAACTTAGTTACCAGGGTTCAGATATGGGGTCCTTCTCATTTGCCGTCTCCCAAAGCGTTAGCATTAGACGGCCCATCGTCATTAAAGACAACGAAGGAGTTGATAGAGTAGAAGTACCTTTCCGTTAGTGTCAAGTAAAAGGCGAACTAGTTGTCATATTTTCCTTGAAATAACAAACCCTATGTACAGCAAGGACGCTCTTAAGTTGATCTTCACGGCACACTACTCATCTAGTAGAGATAGCGGCATATTCTTGCAAAGTCCGACAATACGCATCCACAAGTACATCACTGCATACAAGGACGCGGTTGAGCGCCAGAATGACATTACCAATGACATAGTTGAAGAAATCTGACGGCCGAACCGCCAGAGGATCTGCTGCACCTTGCGGGAGTGGGAGAGTGTGATTGTGTGCGCGACACGGTCATGAGAGATCTCCAAGCCCAGATAGCGCCGCAGCTCTCCTAGGTCTGTACAGTGCAGTGCAACTTTGTCAGGAGTAGCAAATATGAGGTAGTGTATGTACACCTGTGTGTAGAACGCAGTCTGACCTGTACTGACAAAGAGCAAGGGGTCCACACAAGTCGGAAAGAACTGCAGCGAAGCAAGCGTAGTGCAGACTGTATCGTGCCACTTACGTGGCGCCTGACGTAGACCGTAGATAAGGCGGCACAAACTCCACTGGGTCCCAGACGGGAAGGACACATAGGATCCCAGTGGGCGCCGCAGGTAGATCTGCTCGTGCACGCCATCCTGCAGGATGGCTGTGGAGGAGTCCAATGAGTGGAGCTTGTAGTCACATTGCGCGGTCAGGTGGAGGAGCACCCGAAGAGTAGTTATCTTCGGGGTAGGGAGGAAGGACTAGAAGAAGACCACACCCTCCTTCCGACTGAAGCCTCTAGCTACGTAGTGCGCCTTGAACATCGATGGCTCTCCAAGCACGCGTTCCAGATCCACATGCCATCGAGTACATTCGCCCAAGGCGGGGGAGCTGCATCGACGTAAGTCCTTGTAGATATGTAGGATGCCATCTCTGCCTCCATGGCCTGTATCCACTAGGCTGCCCAGGCACTCGAGACCGCCTCAGCGTAAGAGATGGCATAGGGATGTCTAGGGCGGGTCACCCTCAGGGGATGCAAGCATGGTGCAGAGATGGGGTGCAGCGGCAGCAAGGTAAGTGAGCTCATACTGCCTGTCCTCTAGTACGTCATTGTCAAGGGCATGTGCACCCCCGACGGACGGAGGACAGGCAGGGTCACAGACTAAAGTGGCAGCGTAGTCAAGGCGGTGGCTAGTAGCGACAGCAGCCACAAGCGTAGAGACGGTCTCTGGAGGAGCAGTAGGGTCAGTGACAAGCGGCGCAAGCAAGCATGAGACGATTGGACGAGCAGTGCGTGCAGAGTCAGTGGAAGGAGCAGGGGACAGCGGGAGCGACGACTTGGGAGGTAACGGCAAGACCAGGACTGAGGAGCATGAGAACGAAGGACCATAGGATGGACACAAGGACGAGGTTTTTTCAGGACAACCACAAGGGAGTCGACGGACCCAGTAGGGTAGGACGGGGGAATGGGGACGACGGGGGAAGGGGGGCAGGACAGGGGACGGAGGAGAGTGAGGGGGGAAACGGAGAGGAGTCCGTGGGTGGGAACAGCGGGCCGTACATAGGGTCAAGTGGGAGGGGAGGCACAGTAGGAGGGACGGGCAGTCGATCAGGGGAACCGGAGGGGAGGCCAAGGAGACGAAGGGTAGACTGCTGCTACTTCTTCTGCTGCTGCGCAACCCTGGATTCCGTCTTACCCACCTCTTCGTCCGCACCATTACCCCCTCCACCCGCCGATGCCGAGGCTCCATGACCCTTGCCCCTGTGACCCGAGGAGCGACTGTGCGTGGTGACTGCTGCAGCTCTCTTGGTGACCTCCGCAATAGAGGCGGAGGCCGCATAGACAGGAAGCTGGGGGGCAGAGCAGCCCTAAAAGACGGGGATCGTTATCGTGCCAGTGGTGTTAGCGATGGCACGGAGGGTAGTCAGGATGTCAGCCGTAGTCAGGGCGGTGAAAAACTCTGCGACAATGAGGGTAGTGAGGGGTTGTGTAAGGAGAGCGTCTCGCGCAGGGGCGAGGCAGCCAGGGAGGCGTGTAGCAAGGAGGTACAGGGTGATGTAGCTGGGCAGGAGGTGGGTGGTGCGCTGGTCCTCGGGGCAGGCTGTACGCCAACGAGCCTCAAGGGAGTGCAAGTGCGCAACTAGGTCTGTGATAGTGGAGAAGGAGGAACATCGCACGTTGGGTGTTCCTGTAAAAAATGGTCACACTCAAACGCCATCCGCAAGCTTGAATACAAGCATTGCAATTCAGCTCCAACACGCCTGACATCGTGGCGCGTAGTCAAGAAACAAAGCGCATTTTGGGCTGCTGAATCACAATATGGCCGTGTCACTTTAGATTCCTTACTCTATTGCACACATTGACAATA